GATCAATACGTGAGAAGAAGTCCTAGGGAGGAGGGAGCAAGCTTCCTTTCTGCTTCCCTGGAGACTAGGACGCAATGGAACAATGGCTTCAAACTACAAGGAAGGCAATTCCATCTGAACGTTAGGAAGAACTCCTTGATAGGATTGGGTGGTTTCGTTCGTTAATTTCGTAATTCGTTATTAATTCGTATTTAAATTAGCTTACGATCCAATATTGAGCCATGCAGGAATAGTGTGTGGAGTCAATTAGATTCAAAACAATTTTTTCAATTTATTTTGTAATTATTTTGTAATTATTTTGTAATTATTTCGTAATTATTTCGTAATTATTTTCGCATGTCTGGTGCAAGTTTTATAGTTGTTGTTTGTTTTATCACACCAACAGTCAACAACAGAGGGAGAGGGAAGCTTCAGAAGTTCCCCCTGTCCCATTTGGAGGTTTTTTTTTTTAGCATATTGCGCAATCGCGTCCGCCATTAATGAATCAATTCGTAATTATATGAAATTTCGTATATTTCGAAATTTTTAAAAGGGAAATTTCTGAATTATTTTAAAAAACGAAACGCAAGGGCCCCCTAAAAACAAAACGAGTTTAGAACCAATTTTTTCCGTGGTTACCCAAGCCTACTCCCTGACTGTGAGAGCTGTTCAGCGGTGGAACTCTCTGCCCCGGAGGGAGTGTGGTGGAGGCTCCTTCTTTGGAAGCTTTTAAACAGAGGCTGGATGGCCATCTGTCAGGGGTGATTTGAATGCAATATTCCTGCTTCTTGGCAGAATGGGGTTGGACTGGAGGGCCTATGAGGTCTCTTCCAACTCTAGGATTCTAGGATTCTAGGTCTGAGGGAGTGGATTCTAATCCAGAGCCAAAGAGTTTGCAAGAACAGGCTCCAGATCCCTTTCTGGGGAAGGAATCCAGAGCAAAGGCAGAACCACAGTGTGAGAGGGAGAGAGTCGGCAGCTGCAACACAAGCAGGCAGAGCTCCTGCCAAGATTTGCAAAGCTCCCCCAAAGCAAGGAAGGAGGGAAGGAGGGGTCCAGACAGGAGCTGTCACACATTAGATCCCCTCCTTGGCCTCCCGTGCGGACGATCCACTTCAGGCGTGGGTTCCCAGGGCGCACCGCCCCAAGCCGGAGCCTTTCCAAATAAACTCATAAACAGGAAGTGCAAGTTTCCAGGCAAACCCTGAACGTGGAAGTCAGAACAGAAACAATATAGCAAGGTCCAGATCAAAGTCGGCTGTGGGCGCCTTCCAGACAGCCCAGGCAGGCTAATCATCATCACTAATAGTAGTAGTAGTAGTAGTAGTAGTAACAAATCCAAATAAAAGTCAAGCAAGACAGCTGTGCGCCACTTCCAGCAATCCAAGCATGAGAACAGTGGAATCATACAATAATAAACAATAGCCTCATCACACTAGAGAATTCTGCAGAAGGTAGAAACCAGATTTAAAGTGGATTCATTCTCTAGTGTGAGGAAGTAGTAACTAATAAGAGAGTTGGAAGAGACCACATAGGCTATCTAGTCTAACTCCCTGCCGTGCAGGAAAAACACAATCAAAGCACTCCCGACAGATGGCCATCCAGCCTCTGCTGGAACATTAGGAATAGTCACAATCTAATAGGATCACATAGACTGTCTTGTCTAACTCCCTGCCATGCAGGAAAAACACAATCAAAGCACTCCCGACAGATGGCCATCCAGCCTCTGCTGGAACATTAGGAATAGTCACAATCTAATAGGATCACATAGACTATCTTGTCTAACTCCCTGCCATGCAGGAAAAACACAATCAAAGCACTCCCGACAGATGGCCACCCAGCCTCTGCTGGAACATTAGGAATATTCACAATCTAATAGGATCACATAGACTATCTTGTCTAACTCCCTGCCATGCAGGAAAAACACATTCAAAGCACTCCTGACAGATGGCCACCCAGCCTCTGCTGGAACATTAGGAACATTCACAATCTAATAGGATCACATAGGCTATCTTGTCTAACTCCCTGCCGTGCAGGAAAAACACAATCAAAGCACTCCTGACAGATGGCCACCCAGCCTCTGCTGGAACATTAGGAACGTTCACAATCCAATAGGATCACATAGGCTATCTTGTCTAACTCCCTGCCATGCAGGAAAAACACAATCAAAGCACTCCCGACAGATGGTCATCCAGCCTCTGCTGGAACATTAGGAACATTCACAATCTAATAGGATCACATAGACTATCTTGTCTAACTCCCTGCCGTGCAGGAAAAACACAATCAAAGCACTCCCGACAGATGGCCACCCAGCCTCTGCTGGAACATTAGGAATATTCACAATCCAAGAGTAAATTCAAAGGAGAGCCAAGCAAGTTATCTGAGTGCCCCTCCCAACAACCCAAGTCATGCAACAACAACAACGACAACGACAACAACATGAAGTCCTCAAAAGTCATCCAAGTCAGTTGTGTGCCCCTTTCCAGCACTCCAAGGCATGGGAACAATAGCATCAGAATAATAGAGTTGGAAGGGATCTCATAGGCTATCTAGTCTAACTCCCTGTCACACAGGAAAAACTCAAAGCACCCCTGACAGATGGCCACCTGGCCTCTGTTGGAACATTAGGCATATTCAGAATCCAAGAATAAATTCAAAGAAGGGTCAAGCAAGTCAACTGTGTTCCCCTCTCAACAAGCCAAGTCATGCCACAACAACAACAACAAGAACATTTATTGTTAGTATTATTATTATTAGTAGTAGTAGTAGTAGTAGTAGTAGTATAGTATATAAAAGTCTTAAAAAGTCATCCAAGTCAGCTGTGAGCCCCTTCCAGCAATCCAGGGCATGGGAACAACAGAATAATAAGAGTTGGAAGAGATCACATAGGCTATCTAGTCCAACCCCCTGCCATGCAAGAAAAAAAAATGCAATGAAAGCATCCCTGACAGATGACCACCCAGCCTCTGTTGGTATATTAGGAATATTCACAATCCAAGAGTAAATTTAAAGAAGAGTCAAATAAGTCAACTGAGTGCCCCTCCCAACAACCCAAGTCATGCAACAACAACAACAACAACAACAACAACAACAACAACTATTATTATTATTATTATTATTATTATTATTATTATTATTATATGAAAGTCTTCAAAAATCATCCAGGTCAGGTCTGTGCCCCTTCCAGCACTCCAAGGCATGGGAACAATAGAATAATAAGAGTTGGAAGAGATCACATAGGCTATCTAGCTTAACTCCCTGCCATGCAAGAAAAACACAATCAAAGCACCCCCGACAGATGGCCATCCAGCCTCTGCTGGAACATTAGGAATACTCACAATCCAAGAGTAAATTTAAGTAAGAGTCAAGCAAGGCAACTGAGTGCCCCTCTCAACAAGCCAAGTAATGCAACAACTACTACTACTACTACTTCAACAATTATTATTATTATTATTATTATTATTATTATTATTATTGGAAAAACACAATCAAAGCACCCGACAGATGGCCATCCAGCCTCCGCTGGAACATTAGGAATATTCACAATCCAAGAGTAAATTCAAAGAAGGGTCAAGCAAGTTAACTGAGCGCCCTTCCCAACAACCCAAGTCATGCAACAACTACAACAACAACAATTTATTATTATTATTATTATTATTATTATTATTATTATTATATGAAAGTCTTCAAAAATCATCCAGGTCAGGTCTGTGCCCGTTCCAGCACTCCAAGGCATGGGAACAATAGAATAATAAGAGTTGGAAGAGATCACATAGGCTATCTAGTTTAACTCCCTGCCATGCAAGAAAAACACAATCAAAGCACCCCCGACAGATGGCCATCCAGCCTCTGCTGGAACATTAGGAATATTCACAATCCAAGAGTAAATTCAAAGAAGGGTCAATCAAGTCAATTGTCTGGCCCTCCCAACAAACCAAGTCATGCAGCAGCAACAGCAGCAGCAACAGCAGCAACAGCAACAACAACAACAACAACGTCCTCAAAAGTCACGTAAGTCAGCTGTGCGCCCCTTTCCAGCACTCCAAGGCATGGGAACAATCTATATAAATAAAAATGTAATGCTCGTTTGTGGGATTAACAGAACTCAAAAACCACTGGATGAATTGACACCAAATTTGGACACAAGACACCGAACAAGCCAATGTATGTCCTTCACTCAAAAAATTGATTTTGTCGTTTGGGAGTTGTAGTTGCTGGGATTTATAGTTCACCTACAATCAAAGAGCATTCTGAACCCCACCAAGGATGGAATTGAACCAAACTTGACACACAGAACTCCCATGACCAACAGAAAATACTGGAAGGGTGTCCTTTGGTTTTGGAGTTGTAGTTCACCTCCATCCAGAGGTCACTGTGGACTCAAACAATGATGGATCTGGACCAAACTCTACACAAATACTCAATATGCCCAAATGTGAACACTGGCGGAGTTTGGGGAAAATAGAATCCCGACATTTGGGAGTTGTAGTTGCTGGGATTTATAGTTCACCTACAATCACAGAGCATTCTGAACCCCACCCATGACAGAATTGGGCCAAACCTTCTACTCAGAACCCCCATGTGGGCCACAGCAACGCGTGGCAGGGGACGGCTACAAGAATAATAAAAGTTGGAAAATATCACATAGGCTATCTAGTTTAACTCCTTCCATGAAGGAAAAAAACACAATCAAAGCACCCCCGACAGATGGCCACCCAGCCTCTGTTGGAACATTAGGAGTATTCACAATCCAAGAGTAAATTCAAAGAAGGGTCGAGCAAGTTAACTGGGCGCCCTTCCCAACCAGCCAAGTCATGCAACAATAATGTCAAAGTCTTCCAAAGTCCTGCAAGCCAGTGGTGTGTCCCTTCCAGTACTCCAAGGCATGGGAAGACTCATGGCCAATGCATGGAGGAATGCAAAGGGAGTCCTGCAATGTGCAGAGAGGGGCCAAGGGGGGGTGAAGGGGGGGTCCCCACCCCATGCCCTCCCCCTCCCCTTCCCAGGGGCACCAAGCTCACCGCCTTCTCCTGCAAAGGTCACCCGAGGAGAGGAAAAAGAGGAGGAAGAAGAGCCTCCGTCCCGAGGCGCCTGCTGCCCAAAGCCTTGCCTCCTCCTCCTGCTTCTGCTTCTGCTTGTGTTGCTCTTCAGGTGTGAAGGGGAGGGGAAGAGGTTTGGCAAGAGCCGAGAGGAGGACTCTGGGAGTTGTAGTTCGCCCAGGGGGAGGGATCCCAGCCCTTTGGATCTCCTCCTCCTCCTGCTTCCTCCTTCCCTTCCTTCTCCCTCCAGTGGTGGATCCGAGGAAGGAAAGCAGAGCCCATTCCATCCCTAAAAATACAGTTTTCTTGTCTGGATCCCTCTGCTTGAAAGGAGTCCCTTGACTGAACCCAAGAAACACAAGTTTGGAAGGGGTCCCCAGAGGTCATCCAGCCCACCTCCCTTCCTTCTGCCCTGCACACTGGCAACCAAGATCCGCATAGTCAAAGCAATGGTATTCCCCGAAGTAACCTATGGATGTGAGAGCTGGACCTTCAGGAAGGTTTTAGCGAAGGAAGAGAGATGTGGTGCTGGAGGAAAGTGCTGAGAGTGCCTTGGACTGCGAGAAGACCCAACAAGTCCATCCTCCAGGAAAGAAAGCCCGACTGCTCATTGGAGGGAAGGAGACGAGAGACAAAGTTGAAGTACTTTGGCCACATCATGAGGAGACAGCAAAGCCTGGAGAAGGGAATGATGCTGGGGAAAGTGGAAGGGAAAAGGAAGAGGGGCCGACCAAGGGCAAGATGGATGGATGGCATCCTTGAAGTGACTGGACTGACCTTGAGGGAGACCCTGGGGGTGGTGACGGCCGACAGGGAGCTCTGGCGTGGGCTGGTCCATGAGGTCACGAAGAGTCGGAGACGACTGAATGAATGAACAACAACAACATCGTCTCTCAGTGAGGGCATTAGTTTCCAAGTGGAAGGGGTCCCAGTAGCCTAGGGGTTGGCTTGACGCACCTTCGTCTTGGCACGTTTCTCTCTTTCGCCCTCCATTCGTGCCTCTTCAAATTCTGCAGCACTGCTGGTCACAGCTGACCTCCAGCTGGAGCACTCAAGGGCCAGGGCTTCCCAGTTCTCAGTGTCTATGCCAGAGCCTTTAAGGGTTGACTCTGAGCCCGTCTTTAAATCCCTTTTCCTGCCCTCTAACATTCCGTTTTCCATTCTTGAGTTCGGAGTAGAGCAACTGCTTTGGGAGACGGTGGTCGGGCATCCGGACAATGTGGCCAGTCCAGCAAAGTTGATGACGGAGGACCAACGCTTCAGTGCTGGTGGTCTTGGCTTCTTTCAGCACGCTGACGTTTGTCCGCCTGTCTTCCCAAGAGATAAACAAGCCCCTTGGTCTCCCAACGGATGTCCCGGTCGTCAAACACTCTCTGCTTCATTTGGAAGAATGCTGCACTCTCAGAGCTCAGGCGGTGTTGAATTTCAGTGTCGATGTTGTGGAGAGGTGACTGCCAAGGGAGCGGAAATGGTCAACATTTTCTTCAATGCTGGTGGTCTTTGCTTCTTCCAGCACGCTGTTTGTCCGCTTGCCTTCCCAAGAGATTTGCAGGATTTTCCGGAGGCAGCACTGATGAAATCGTTCCAGGAGTTGCCTATGACGTCTGTAGACAGTCCCCATTTCACAGGCATATAACAGGGCTGGGAGGACAAGGGCTTTAAAGAATCCTAGAATCCTAGAGTTGGAAGAGACCTGGTGGGCCATCATCCAGTCCAACCCCATTCTGCCAAGAAGCAGGAATATTGCATTCAAAGCACCCCTGACAGATGGCCATCCAGCCTCTGTTTCAAAGCTTCCAAAGAAGGAGCCTCCACCACACTCCCTCCGGGGCAGAGAGTTCCACTGCTGAACGGCTCTCACAGTCAGGAAGTTCTTCCTCATGTTCAGATGGAATTTCCTCTCTTGTAGTTTGAAGCCATTCCTCCATTGCGTCCTAGTCTCCATGTTAAGCAGAAAACAAGCTTGCTCCCTCCTCCTCCCTGTGGCTTCCTCTCACATATTTATTATACATGGCTATCATATCTCCTCTCAGCCTTCTCTTCTTCAGGCTAAATATGCCCAGCTCCTTAAGCCGCTCCTCATAGGGCTTGTTCTCCAGACCCTTGATCATTTTAGTCACCCTCCTCTGGACACATTCCAGCTTGTCAATATCTCTCTTGAATTGTGGTGCCTAAAATTGGACACAGTATTCCAGGTGTGGTCTAACCAAAGCAGAACAGAGCATGGGGAGCATGGCTTCCCTAGATCTAGACACTATGCTCTTCTTGATGCAGGCCAAAATCCCATTGGCTTTTTTTGCCGCCACAACACATTGTTGGCTCATGTTTAACTTGTTGTCCACGAGGACTCCAAGATCTTTTTCACACATACTGCTCTCGAGCCAGACCTCATTGTCCACCATTCTGTCTCTTTGCATTTCTTTTTTTCTGCCTAAGTGGAGTCTCTTGCATTTGTCACTGTTGAACTTCATTGTGTTAGTTCTGGCCAATCATCTCTCTAATCTGTCAAGATCGTTTTGAATCCTGCTCCTGTCCTCTGGAGTCTTGGCTCTCCCTCCCAATCTGGTGTCGTCTGCAAACTTGATGATCCTGCCTTCTAGCCCTTCATCCAAGTCATTAATCAAGATGTTGAACAGGATCGGGCCCAGGACGGAACCCTGCGGCACTCCACTTGTCACTTCTTTCCAGGATGAAGAGGAGGAAGCCTTGGGGAGACTCATCCTCTGGGTTCATCCATTTAACCAATTGACCTTCGTCTCCTGAATGTGATTTTCCTACTTCTTGGCAGAATGGTGTTGGACTGAATGGCCCATGAGGTCTCTTCCAACTTTAGAATTCTAGGATTTGCTTCTGCTTTGGAGAGACCTCTTCACCATGAATGAATAACAATCCTGTTCTGGGCAAAGTGTGCAATTGTTAAGATCGTCTGGAGGGGCCCTGCTCTCGGTCCCACCAGCCTCACAGGCGTGTCTGCTGGGGACGAGGGACATGGCCTTCTCGGTGGTGGCCCCTTGGCTCTGGAACTCTCTCCCACTGGAGATCAGAACTGCCCCTTCTATCTTGATGTTCAGAAAACAGGTGAAAACTTGGCTCTGGAAATTGGCATTCGACAAGTGAGTCAATATTCTGTGATATGGATGGATGTTGACGAATGGCGAACAACGATTTTATTGTGACGACTGACCATTGTAATTATTTGACTGCATTTTGCTATTTTAATGTTTTTAGTTTAATATGTAATATGATGTTTTTTAATGACTGTTTGTGATATTATTGTTGGAAACCGGCCTGAGTCCCTCGACAGAGGTGAGAAGACCGGTATACAAAACTGCTAAATAAACAAACAAGGAGAGAGAGGAGAGGGAAACGGTCCAGAGAAGGGCCCCCAAATGGGGGGGGGGATGGCGGTCTTGCCCCCCAGGAATCCAAAATGACCTTCACAACTTAAAAGAGCAGAGTCAAAGCTCACCACATTGATTTCAACAGGGAGAAATGTATGGTATACATACAGCAGGCATGGGAAAACTTTGGCCCTCCAGAGTTACATTACACAGCATAGGATCTTGTCTGTCCTGCAACACGGGCCCCAAATCCACCCAGAAAAGACCGGCCAGGACTGGACTGGACTTTGGCCTGGGGTCAGTGCCGCCGGCCGGACAACACAAATATGTTTGAGTCTTTACTCTGGATTTTTCTCATTGCGCTAATCAGCAGAGCAAGGTCCATCTCACCAGACATTAAACATTGACTCAGCCGACATTCCTTCCTCCAGCCAAGGCAAGAATAACAACCAGAAGAAGAGGACCTTCCTTCTCCCCATATTTCTACTCAGAGCCCCAGATACTACACTTGGTCTTAGCCAAAAGGCCGAGAAGCTCCCCAAACAGCTAAAATAGAGGGTGTCAAACAATAATTCTGCCCCCAAATGACATTTTTTTTCCCTAGCATTGCAGTCAGCCATTTTTCAATGAAGTTGAGGCACCTTGAGGAAAAGATGCGGCAGATATGGGCAAATATCTACCGACTCCTGCTCGGCCCCACAGCCATTGTCCTGTGGGGTCCCGCAGGGCTCAGTATTGCCCCCTATGTTGTTTAACATCTACATGAAGCTGCTGGGTGAGATCATCCAGAATTTTGGAGTCCGATGCCATCGTTTGGCGGGGACGAGAGATAGGGCCTTCTCGGTGGTGGCGCCCCGGCTATGGAGCACCCTCCCTGTGGACATCAGACAGGCGCCCTCCCTTATGTCATTCCGCAAGAGCTTAAAGACATGGCTATTCGAGCAGGCGTTCAACTAAGCATTACAACAACTGGCATTGATGACTGGAACGGAATATGGAATACGAGATTGGTTTACGATTTTACGATGAGACGACGCGGATGATTTAGAGTAATTATTGTTGTATTATTGATGTTACGTGCTTACTGTGTTGTATGAGGGTTGTATTGTAAACTGTTTTTTTTTATATGTTGTACACCGCCGTGAGTCGCCCGAAAGGGCTGAGAACGGCAGTCAACAAATGCAATAAATAAATAAATAAATAATAAATAAATCTGTATGCAGATGACGTCCAACTCTATCACTCGTTTCCACCAGATGCTAAGGAGGCTGTCCAAGTCCTGAACCAGTGCCTGGCCACTGTGACAGTCTGAATGAGGGCAAGCAAATTGAAGTTGAATCCAGACAAGACAGAGGTCCTCCTGGTCAGTTGCAAGGCCGAACAGGGCATAGGGTTACAGCCTGCGTTGGATGGGGTTACACTCCCCTTGAAGATGCAGGTTCGCAGCTTGGGGGATGATCCTGGATTCATCGCTGAGCCTGGAATTCCAGGTTTCGGCGGTGGCCAGGGGAGCATTTGCACAGTCTATTTATATATTTATTTACAGTATTTCCATTCCACCCTTCTCACCCCGCAGGGTGCCAAAGACACACAACAGATCTAGACAGACATACACAGAGGCTATTCAATTTTTTCTGGCCACCGGGGGAGCTGTCGCTTCCATCGTCCATCTGCAACACTGATGAGGTACTTCCGCATTCCCTGCATGCTTTTGTTGGAGTGCTTTCCTGGAGTGTTTTTTATGGCCTCATAAATTAGTTAAATATATATCTGCTATTGAGGTCTTCCAAATTATGGTAACCCTATCATAGAGTCTTCTTGGAAATGTTGGTTCAGAGGGGGTTCGCCATTGCCTTCCTCTTTCTTTTTCTTGTCAGGAGCAACTTGAGAAACTGCAAGATCTCAGAGTCCTCATGGACAACAAGTCAAACATGAGCCAACAATGTGATGTGGCGGCAAAAAGAGCCAATGGGATTTTGGCCTGCATCAATAGGAGCCTAGTGTCTAGATCTAAGGAAGTAATGCTCCCCATGCTCTATTCTGCTTTGGTTAGACCACACCTGGAATATTGTGTCCAATTCTATGCACCACAATTGAAGAGAGATATTGACAAGCTGGAATGTGTCCAGAGAAAGAGTGAGACTAAAATGATCAAGGGTCTGGAGAACAAGCCCTATGAGGAGCGGCTTAAGGAGCTGGGCATGTTTAGCCTGAAGAAGAGAAGGCTGAGCGGAGATATAATAGCCATGTATAAATATGTGAGAGGAAGCCACAGGGAAGATGAAATAAAAAGTGAAAGAAGGAAGGAAACAGGGAGGGAAGGAAGGATACAAAGGAAGAAGTAGAGAAAGGGGGAGGGAAGGAAGGAAAGAGAGAAGGAAGGATGAAACCAAAAAGCAAAGGAAGGAATGAAAGAAAGAGGTAGAGGCATTCTCTCCTGACGTTTCACCTGCATCCATGGCAAGCATCCTCAGAACTTGTGAGGTCTGTTGGAACTAGGAAAATGGGTTTATATATCTGTGGAATGACCAGGGTGGGACAAAGGACTCTTGTCTGCTGGAGCTAGGTGTGAGTGTTTCAACTGACCAACTTGATTACTATTTGATGGCCTGGCAGTTGTTTGGTGTGGCTCATTAGTGCCTGGGGCAATCTTTTGTTGAGAGGTGATTTTCCTAGTTCCATTTTTTTCCTAGTTCCAACAGACCTCACTACCTCTGAGGATGCTTGCCATAGATGCAGGCGAAACGTCAGGAGAGAATGCCTCTAGAACATGGCCATGTAGCCCGAAAAAAACCTACAACAACCCAGTGATTCTGGCCATGAAAGCCATCAACAGAACAGTTCATTGTTTGCCAAGAAGGATGGCTATTGGGGGATTGTGTCAACTGCATGAAGGAATGGTGGAATTGTCTCCATGTCCACCTTGGGAGTGCTTATGTCACTGTGTATCTTGGGGGAAGCTCATTCATTCCCAAAGGCCAGCTGGTGGGACCCTCCATGGCCATCCGATTGAGGGTCTTGGTGTCCTGGATCTTGAGAACATAACCTACGAAGGAAGGCCTTCTTCAGCCCAAGGAAAGCAGAGAGGCGGCGCTATAAGTCACCAGCGGCGATTTTAATGCCAGCCTGTCTCGGCTCTTTGCTACCAGTAATGGGGGATCGGGTATGACTCTGACACGAACTCGGGGTGTATGATGTAGCTGTCCCTCAGGGCCCCTCCGGCCCTCTTGAAATGGCTTGTGTCCCACCTGAAATGAGAGGAAGACAGACAAAGCACGCATCAGGAGAGGACGCCCATAGAAGAGACCCAAGCCAGGGCCACCCAGACCAACCCCCTTCTGCCATACGGGAAGACATCATCCAAGCCCTCCTGACAGATGGTCATCCAACCTTTCCAGAGAAGGAATACGTTGCACTCCAGGATAGGAATAATCTTCTGACTTTAAACACTACATGTTGAGTAGAAAAAACAATCTTTTTATTGAAGACTAGCCGTCTCCTGCCATGCGTTGCTGTGGCCCACATCGGAGATTTGACCCAATTCTTTCGTTGGTGGGGTTCAGAATGCTCTGTGATTGTAGGTGAACTGCAAATCCCAGCAACTACAACTCCCAAATGTCAAGATTCTATTTCCCCCAAACTCTACCAGTGTTGGCATATTGAGTATTCCTGTCAAGTTTGGTCCAGATCCATCATTGTTTGAGTCCACAGTGCTCTCTGGATGTACGTGAACTACAACTCCCAAACTCAAAGTCAGTGCCCACCAAACCCAGTTTTTCTGTGGGTCATGGGAGAATTGTGTGCCAAGTTTGGTTCAATTCCATCGTTGGTGGGGTTCAGAATGCTCTTTGATTGTAGGTGAACTAGAAATCCCAGCAACTACAACTCCCAAATGTCAAGATTCTATTTTCCCCAAACTCTACCAGTGTTCACATTTGGGCAGATTGAGTATTCGTATAGAGTTTGGTCCAGATCCATCATTGTTTGAGTCCACAGTGATCTCTGGATGTAGATGAACTACAACTCCAAAACCAAAGGACACTGCCCACCAAACCCTTCCAGTATTTTCTGTTGGTCATGGGAGAACTGTGTGCCAAGTTTGGTTCAATTCCATCGTTGATGGAGTTCAGAATGCTCTTTGATTGTAGGTGAACTAGAAATCCCAGCAAGTACAACTCCCAAATGACAAAATCTGGGTTTTTTTGAGTGAAGGACATACATTGGATTGTTCGGTGTCTTGTGTCCAAATTTGGTGTCAATTCGTCCAGTGCTTTTTGAGTTCTGCTAATCCCACAAACGAACATTAGATTTTTATTTATATAGATAAGTAAAAAGCAGCAAAGTAAGAAGCACTTTAAGGAAATAGGTAAATCCAATTAGGTAAGAAGATAAGCAGGAACAAATTAGTCCAAGGTAGAGTTCAGCAAAGTCCATAAAAGCAATGTCCACACAACTCTAATGCAATCCAGAAAATCAGAAATACAGTGATCCAAGGCTTGGGTAAGCAACCATGAAATCCAGGAATCAAAACCATGAAACAAGAAATATCTTAGCTTGAATCTTCGTTAGCTAGGTCACTAGTGGTCAGAAATTGCTTTCTCTTTAATTGAGGCTTTGTATTGTCGAAGGCTTTCATGGCCGGAATCACTGGGTTGTTGTAGGTTTTTCCGGGCTATATGACAATATTCTAGAGGCATTTTCTCCTGACGATTCGCCTGCATCTATGGCAAGCATCCTCCGAGGTAGTGAGGTCTGTTGGAAGTAGGAAAATGGGTTTATATATCTGTGGAAAGACCAGGGTGGGACAAAGGACTCTTGTCTGCTGGAGCTAGGTGTGAATGTTTCAACTGACCACCTTGATTGGCATTTAATGGCTTGGAAGTGCCTGGGGGGAAATCAGCCATAGCAGAGCACCTGATGAACCAACCTGGACACAGCATATTATTTGAGAACACAGAAATGCTGGACCACTCTCACAACCACACAGAGAAGCCATTGAAATCCACAAGAAGCATGTGGACAATTTCAACAGAAAGGAAGAAACCATGTAAATGAACAAAATCTGGCTACCAGTATTAAAAAACACAAAAATTACAACAGCAAAACAACAGAGAGTACACAATCAGGCACATCAAATCACTCTCAACAAAAGATCCCCCAGGCACTTCCAAGCCATTAAATGCTAATCAAGGTGGTCAGTTGAAACATTCACACCTAGCTGCAGCAGACAAGAGTCCTTTGTCCCACCCTGGTCTTTCCACAGATATATAAACCCATTTTCCTAATTCCAACAGACCTCACTACCTCTGAGGATGCTTGCCATAGATGCAGGCGAAACGTCAGGAGAAAATGCCTCTAGAACCTGGCCATATAGCCCGGAAGAACCTACAACAACCCAATTGAGGCTTTGTTATTGTTTTCTGTCAAAGCCTGGCAGGGCACCGAAGCCATTGCTCAGTTCTCCTGTTTTGACTGAACTCTTCTCGTCTATCTCTTGGCTCATTATCTACTTGCTCATTAATTTCTGCAGGTGCCGAGCTATTTTCATGTTCTCTCTCATGAGAACTCTCTGGTAACAATTCAGAAAGCACACCATCATCCCCACAGAATGACCCCTCAGGGACATTCTCATGGGAAACTACAGGGATCTCCTGGTCATTCTCTGCATCAATAACACTGACCAAACCATTGCCATCTTGACACTCATCTTGAACCTCATTAACATCATTCTCCACATCTAAAGCACCCTGATCCTGAAACACCATCACAGGCTGAACTCCACCAGCATATTCCACTATGAACTTCTCTTCTTCCACCAGGATGTTCTTCTTAATGTTTAGGTAGAATCTCGTTTCCTGCCATTTGAATCCATTGCTCCACTCCTCAATGGGACATCCTTCCCAAGATGTCAACCTGACTCTCATGTCTCAGTTTCTCTTCTCCAAGCTCAACAGACCATGCTTCCAAAGAAGATCTTCAGAGGGATTCATGATGTCCAGACCTTGGGCCATTTTGGCCACTCTTCTCTGGACATGTTCCTCAGGTTGCAATTGTGTCTTGAATTACAAGGGTCTAAAGCAGGTACAGGCAAACTTGGGCCCTCCAGGTGTTTTGGACTTCAACTCCCACCATTCCTAACAGCCTATCGGCTGTTAGGAATGGTGGGAGTTGAAGTCCAAAACACCTGGAGGGCCCAAGTTTGCTTCTGCCTGGTCTGAAGACACTTTAGCAAAGAGGGCAGCCCTCTATCATTTTCTGGCCCCTACAAAGGTGTTGGCCCTGCCTTCCAATCAACCTTTCCAACTTTGACTTAGCACTCCCCCAGTGAACTATAACTCCCAGGAGTCAACTGCATTGTGCCACAGCAGTGAAAGTGGGGTCTACGGATGACAACTTCCATCTGGATGGGAGATTCTGGGAGCTGTAGTGCCAAATGACCTTTTTAAGTTCCAATTGCAGGTCTCGATGTTAATGGCACTAATTTCGGATGGCATATAGTCATATATCAATGTAATTAGAATAATAGAATCATAGAATCCAAGAGTTGGAAGAGACCTCCTGGGCCATCCAGTCCAACCCCATTCTGCCAAGAAGCAGGAACATCGCATTCAAATCACCCCTGACAGATGGCCATCCAGCCTCTGTTTAAAAGCTTCCAAAGAAGGAGCCTCCACCACACTCCTGGGGCAGAGAGTTCCACTGCTGAACGGCTCTCACAGTCAGGAAGTTCTTCCTCATGTTCAGATCGAATCTCCTCTCTTGTAGTTTGAAGCCATTGTTCCGCGTCCTAGTCTCCAAGGAAGCAGAAAACAAGCTTGCTCCCTCCCCCCTGTGGCTTCCTCTCACATATTTATACATGGCTATCATATCTCCTCTCAGCCTTCTCTTCTTCAGGCTAAACATGCCCAGCTCCTTAAGCCGCTCCTCATAGGGCTTGTTCTCCAGACCCTTGATCATTTTAGTCGCTCTCCTCTGGACACATTCCAGCTTGTCAATATCTCTCTTGAATTGTGGTGCCCAGAATTGGACACAATATTCCAGGTGTGGTCTAACCAAAGCAGAATAGAGGGGTAGCATCTTGTCTGTTCTCATTCCTTCATATATTTTCAAGGTAAGCAAACAGTTCCCCCCCCCACCCCAACCAATCACTGATATATATTTTCTGTTCGTCGTGGGAGTTCTGTGTGCCATATTTGGTTCAATTCCATCATTGGTGGAGTTCAGAATGCTCTTTGATTGTAGGTGAACTATACATCCCAGTAACTACAACTCGCATATGTCAAGGTCTATTTTCCCCCAAGAGCGCCTCAAGAGCGCCCCTGGGCAAAATCAACTAGACTGCAAATGCTTACTTTGCGTAATGGTTGAGCCGCCCCTGGATGGCATATATCCATATGTATAATGGCCATCGTGTCCAGTGTCCAAGGCCAGTGCTATATATCTCCTGAGAAGAGGCTTTGCAGAGATTAAGGGGTCAGGTCAAAGGACAAAGCTCAGTTGAAGCAGGAAGGGGGTGACCTTCAAAACAGGAAGGCCTGTTTACAGAAAGGCAGCAGCATTTAGATAAGGTGAGTCCAGCTTGTATTTTTACAAGAGGTGCATCTACACCAGGCATGGGCAAACTTGGGCCCTCCAGGTGTTTTGGACTTCAACTCCCACAATTCCTAACCGCCGATCGGCGGTTAGGAATTGTGGGAGTTGGAGTCCAAAACACCTGGAGGGCCCAAGTTTACCCATGCCTGATTTACACTATAGAATGAATGTTTGGCACCATCTGAACTGCCATGGCATAGTGCTATCGGATCCTGGGAGTTATAGTTTAGAAGACACCAGCACTCTTTAGGCAGAGAAGCCAAGACCTTGTAACACTACAACACCCATGATTCAATAGCATTGAGCCAGGGCAGTTGAAGTGGTGCCAAACTGCATTTATTTTACAGTGTAAATGCACACAATTTAAAAGGTGGCACATTGAAGGTGGACTAAGCTTGCTTTCTGCTGCTCCAGAGACATGTGGATTTAAATGGGAAGAAAAGAGATTCCCCCTAAAAGTTAGGAAAACCTGTATTTCCTGGAATACATTGTCTTAAAGAGAGCTAGACTCCTCTTATTTGGATGGTCATCTCTCAAGAGTGTGCTAGATGTGGATTCCTGTGCAATGGGGTTGGACTAGATGACCTTTGGGGAAACCCTTCCAATTCTGTGATTGTATGCCTACATTTTGAACCTATTCCCCATAGGTAAAGGTAAAGGTAGTCCCCTGACATTAAGTTCAGCTGTGTCCGACTCTGGGGAGTGGGGCTCATCTCCATTTCCAAGCCAAAGAGCTGGCGTTGTCCGTAGACACCTCCAAGGTCATGTGGCCAGCATGACTGCATGGAGTGCCGTTACCTTCCCACCTGAGCGGTACCTATTGATCTACTCACATTTGCATGTTTTCAAACTGCTAGGTTGGCAGAAGCTGGGGCTGACAGCAGAAGCTCATGCTGCTCCCCAGATTCAAACCTGCGACCTTTTGGTCAACAAGCTCGACAGCTCAGCGGTTTAACCCTCTGCGCCACCGCATAGATGCACATTAAATTTGACACCACTTTCACTGCCATGTCTCAATGTGTTGGAAACGTCGGAGCTGTAGTTTGGCGAGTTGACGGCCTTCTTTGGCAGAGCATGCAAAACTACGACTCCCAGGACTCTATAACATTGAGTGCATAATTTCTGCAATGTAGATGCTCTCATCTTAGGAAATGTTGCAAAGGGCAATAAGCACTATGATCCCACATTAACTTTCCTGGTTGCCTCTGGCAGAATTCTGGGATTTGTAGTTTGGCAGTTTGCTTCCCCAAACTACAAATCCCAAAACTCAATGGCAGCCAAAGTGGTGCCAAAGTGCTATAACTCTGTAGTTTGAAAGGGGGGGGGGAGGCCTAATGCATGTTGTTGTTGTGTGTTCTCTTGAGGTAGTATCTACATTCATGACATCGATGTAAACAAAATCAACAATGCAGATGTGTTTCCCTCAGTCTAGGTGTTCTGCATGGTGCAACTAGTGCCTCCAAAGGGCCGTGAAGGTCTTTTCCAAAGACATTGCGTGCCTGCGCATGATAAGCATGCAGAGATCCCCGTCACAGAATCCATGCTCCATGCTAATTGGGGCTCCCAGTTAATTAGGAAATGCCTTTCTTGGTGCTGTTTTATCTTAAGTAGGCTCTGCTTTGGAAATTTGTCCCACCTCACACTTTCAAGGCCAGAGAGAAAACCCATTCCATTCCCAACGTGCCTCCATGCAACCCATGGCTCTCGCAACACAAATGCAATACCTTTGGGGGCCTCAAATGTTGGCCCTGCTTCTGGGTAGATCAGACTTGTTAATTCCAAAAAAGGCACACGTTTCCCCTATCAGCTCTAATCTTATATATATGACGTTGACCAGTCACCCATAGAAAACCATGGGAGCCACGTGTAAGAAACTAGAGCTGTTGCAATCTGTTCAATGCCCTTTTCTGAATCAGCACCTCAATCACCCAGAGATGCAGGTGAAATGTCGGGAGAGAATGCTGCTAGAACATGGCCAGACAGCCGGGAACACTCACAGCAACCCAATTTATTCTTCTGTTGAACAGCTTTGACTGTCAATTCTGGGCACCACAATTGAAGAGAGATATTGACTAGCCGGAATGTGTCCGGAGGAGGGCGACTAAAATGATCAATGGTCTGGAGAACAAGCCCTATGAGGAGCGGCTTAAGGAGCTGGGCATGTTTCGCCCGAAGAAGAGAAGGCTGAGAGGAGACAGGTTGAGGGCCATGGATAAATATGTGAGAGGAAGCCACAGGGAGGAGGGAGCAAGCTTCCTTTCTGCTTCCCTGGAGACTAGGACGCAATGGAACAATGGCTTCAAACTACAAGAGAGGAGATTCCACCTGAACACGAGGAAGAACTTCCTGACTGTGAGAGCTGTTCAGCAGTGGAACTCTCTGCCCCGGAGGGAGTGTGGTGGAGGCTCCTTCTTTGGAAGCTTTTAAGCAGAGGCTGGATGGCCATCTGTCAGGGGTGCTTTGAATGCAACATTCCTGCTTCTTGGCAGAATGGGGTTGGACTGGATGATGGCCCAGGAGATCTCTTCCAACTCTTTGATTCTATGATTCTATGATTGTTTATATGCTGTTATGAGTTCTATTTACTGCTTGTACTACTGTTGTTTGTGCTTTGTTATTGCTGTGTTGTGGGCTTGGCTTCATGTAAGCCGCACCAAGTCCCTTGGGGAGATGGTAGCGGGGTACAAATAAAGTATTATTATTATTATTATTATTATTATTATTATTATTATTAGACATGTATAAATATGTGAGAGGAAGTCATAGGAAGGAGGGAGCAAGCTTCCTTTCTGCTTCCCTGGAGACTAGGATGCAATGAAGCCATGGTTTCAAACTACAAGAAAGGAGATTCCATCTGAACATGAGGAAGAACTTCCTGACTGTGAGAGCCGTTCAGCAGTGGAACTCTCTGCCCCGGGGTGTGGTGGAGGCTCCTTCTTTGGAAGCTTTTAAACAGAGGCTGGATGGCCATCTGCCAGGAGTGCTTTGAATACAATATTCCTACATCTTGGCAGAATGGGGTTGGACTGGATGGCCCATGAGGTCTCTTCCCACTCTATGATTCTGTGTTTAGGTTTGAATCCCTTTTCCTGCCATCCGTGCCTCCTTCCATACCGTCTTACCTAAGGTTCATATACGGGAAAGATGGCGGCGGGGCGGGCATGCGTGCACAGAGCGTCGTCTCTTGGTGGTGGTCGCAATATGGGAAATTCCTGCAAGGAAAAAGGAGAAAAAAGAAAAAAGCTTCAGTTACAAACAAGGAAAGAGTTTGTTATCTGGACAAATGCAGAGTTTTGCAGGCTGGTCAAAGGAGAGTCTTGCAAAATGGGATTTTTTTGCATCCTGGCGAAACAGCGTTTGGTCGCTTGCCAAGGAAAGGACTTCCTTTGCATGTTGATAAAAGGTGTGTTTTATAGGTTGGAGGAGGAAGGCTTTGTGTGTGGGCAAAACAGCATTTGGCAGACTGGAGATTTTTATAGGCTGGTTAAAAGAAAGCCTCGCAAGATAATGTTTTGCCAAATGTCTTCCCAACACAACCTCTTTTTGGGGGGGGGGGGGGGTATTTTCGTACACTGGCAAAAGTATTTGTTTGCAAGGAGTGTTCTGCACACGATGCAAAAAGAGAACTTGCATTCCTTCAAAAGGCAAAGGAAAAAAAACCTTTGCAAGACAAAAAGAGAACTTCCATGCCTTCGAAAGGACAGAGTTTGGCACAAAAAAAATTAATCCTTTGCAAGAGGGCAAAGGAATGCCCTGCATGCTGATGAAGGAGAACTTTGCAATTGTCCATCTCTTGCAAGAGAATGCAGGGTCCAAAAAGCATTGAGAACGAAGCGGGAATTTGGATCAGAACTGTCCCAATTTGGAAGGGATGGCATTTTTCGGCAGAGGCTCCTTTGAACTCCAGGGTGTCCCCAAAATCCCCAAACCCATATGATATTCTATATAAATAAAAATGTATTTTTTATTTATCCCGGCACTGGGACTATGGCGCAGCTGGCTGGGAGTCAGCTGCATTAAGATCACTTCTGACCAAAAAGTCATGAGTTCGAAGCCAGCCCGGGTCAGAGTGAGCTTCCAACCAATTGTGTAGCTTGTTGTCGACCTTTGCAACCTGAAAGACGGTTATTAAGATCGTCTGGAGAGGCCCTGCTCTCGGTCCCACCGGCCTCGCAAGCGCGTCTGGTGGGGACGAGGGACAGGGCCTTCTCGGTGGTGGCCCCTCGACTCTGGAACTCTCTCCCACTGGAGATCAGAACTGCCCCGTCTATCCTGACATTTAGGAAACAGGTGAAGACGTGATTATGGAGACAGGCATTCAACGAGTGAGCCAACACCCTGAGATATGGATGGAGGATGATGAGCAACAATTTTAGTGTGACGACTGACCATTATAGTTATCGATTGTAATTGCTGTTTTAATGTTTTACTGTAATATGTATTATGATGTTTTATTGATTGTATGTGGTATTATGGTTGGAAACCGGTCTGAGTCCCTCAAGAGAGGTGAGAAGGCCCGTATAGTAGGAAAATTAGGTACCACCTATGTGTGGGGAGGCTTATTTAACTAATTTATGAGGCTCCAGCAAAAAGCATGCGGGGAATGCGGAAGTACTTCATCAGTGTTGCAGATGGACGATGAAAGCGACAGTTCCCCTGGCGACCAGAAAAAATTAAATAGCCTCTGACTGTCTGTCTATATCAGTTGTGTGTCTTTGGCATTGAATGTTTGCCATGTATGTGTACATTGTAATCCGCCCTGAGTCCCCTACAGGGTGAGGAGAAGGGCGGAATATCAATACTGTAAATATATAAAATAAATAAAGTTTGTTTGCAGGATTAACATAACTCAAAAACCACTGGACAAATTGACAACAAATTTGGACACAAGACAGCTGTCAGGCCAATGAGTGACCATCACTCATAAAAACACAGCGGAAGGGACTTAAAAAGGCAGAAAACAAAAATACATTGCAAGACATGCACAAAACCACATATATACGCAAACACATATATATCAACATATGCACAAATGTATACACACATATACACATAACGTAAACATACAAAACACATATACACAAACTGGGTCACAGCAACGTGTGGCAGGGGACGCGTTTACTTTGTTGCAATTAATAATCAATCAGTTTGCAACTCCTTGCTTTTAATGTGCCGTAGGAACAGCTCAAAATGCCAGGAAATGCCTCTAGGGCTATAACTAACTTGTGGTGCATCTGTACTATAGAATTAATGCAGTTTGATCCCACTTTAACTGCCATGGATCATCAGCAGAGAAGCCTAGGAGTTGTAGTTTTGCAAGTTTTGTAGTCCACACTCTGGTTACATCCCGTATAGACTACTGCAACGCTCTCTATGTGGGGTTGCCTTAGGAGACGGTTTGGAAGCTCCAGGTTGTTAACAGGAGCGGCGCTCAGGAAGCATACAACCCCCTTGTTGCGCCAGCTCCACTGGCTGCCAGTTTGCTACTGGGCCCAATTCAAAGTGCTGGCTTTGGCCTATAAAGCCCTAAACGGTTCTGGCCCAACTTACCTGTCCAACAATGATGGATCAGGATCACAATTCACACAGAGAGCCCACATGACCCACTCTACATCCTGGTGCGGTTTGGAAAAATTTGGAGATGGATGATGGGACTTCACTCACTTCCTGAGACCACTGAGACCCTCGCCAATGACTGATCAAGACCAAACCTGGCACACAGAGCCCCCATGACCCACTCTACATCCTGGTGCACTTTTGAGGAGGACAGATTATGGATAATGGGACTTCAAGTACCTCCACTCCCTTCCCAAGACTGTTGCAACCCTTATCTAATGACCAGTCAAGACTAAACTTGGCACACAGACCCACCCTACATCCCGGTGCTGTTTGAAGGAGGACAGGCGATGGATGATGGGACTTGCAGTGCTTTCACTCACTTCCTGAAACCACAGCGACACTCATCCAAATACTAATAAAGGCCAAACTTGGCACAGAGAGCCCCCATGGCCAACTCAATATTCTGGTAAGGTTTGGGGGAGAACAGACTATGGATGATGGGACTTCAAGTACCTCCACTCTCTTCCCAAGACTGCTGCAACCCTCATCTAATGACCAATCAAGACCAAACTTGGCACACAGACCCACCCTACATCCTGGTGCTGTTTGAAGGAGGATGGACGATGGGACTTGCAGTGCCTTCACTCACTTCCTGAAACCACAGCGACACTCATCCAAATACCAATAAAGGCCAAACTTGGCACAGAGAGCCCCCATGGCCAAGTCAATATTCTGGTAAGGTTTAGGGGAGAACAGACTATGGAAGACTTCTCCAACACTCATCTAATGACCAATCAAGACCAAACTTGGCACGCAGAGCCCCCATGACCCACTCTCCATCCTGGAACAGTTTGGAGGAAGATGGACCACAGATGATGGGACTCACAGTACCTTCACTAACTTCCTGAGACCACTGCGAGTCATATAAATAACTGATAAAGACCAACCTTGAGACACAATTCCTTTCTCAAATAACCCGGGCAGCGCCGGGTCCCCAAGCTAGTAAATAAATAAAATAAGTTATTTACCATAGATTCCCAGAGCCTCACTAAACTAGAAATCCCAGGATTGCATAGCATTGAGCCATGCCAATCAAAGTGGTGCCAAACTGCATTAATTCCACCATGTAAGCACACCCTTAGTGGAGGGAAAGAAGAGCAAGGGGTGGAATTTGGCTCTTTCCAGAAGCAAGCTTCTGCAGCATCTCCAGTTGTTCCAGAACTGCAACTGGGAACTACATAAGAAAAGAAAAAGAAGTTCCTTTTTAAATACTTCAGAAATGAGTTTGGGTTCTTTTTCCCCCCCTCTGCGAGGCCACTCTTGCAGTTCTGGATTGCATCTTTCGTGACAAATAAGGGAGCGTATACACAGGTTCCGGGCAAGAGATGGGAACAGAGGACCAAATAAGGAGAACATACTTAATTAGCATTTAGAGTTTGAACTATAGTAACCTAGGGCTCACTTGAATGCAAAAAAAATGATGCTCAGGTGGGGTGATTTTAGTATGGTGGTGTCTTCCCCACGCTGATTATTATGGGATGTAAACAGTAATGTGCAGTGATGTAGCTGCAAATAGTGACAACTCCTCTGATCATTTCCCTAAGGAAATGATATTGGATTATGCAATTTTAATGATTTTAATTTTGGGCTGTTGTAGGTTTTTTCGGGCTATATGGCCATGGTCTAGAGGCACTCTCTCCTGATGTTTCGCCTGCATCTATGGCAAGCATCCTCAGAGGTAGTGAGGAAATCCTGGAGGTTGCAATTGATCTGAAAGCACCCAATGACAATATCTTAAGAGATTATAAGACTATACTACTAGAGTGCTGCTTCCCCACTTTAAATCCTATGGTTGCCTCCTGTGGAACTTTGGGACTTGTAGCATAGGGAGGGGCTTACTAAACTTCAAATTCCAGAATTTCACAGAATGCAGCCATAGGATTTCATAGAATCGTAGAATCATAGAGTTGGAAGGGCCCCTCCTCTAATAATAGCTATTACATATTTTTAGAGATTGGCTGGATTTCCAGTCCCAGCCTAGCCCCAAACATTCATGGGAGGATTTTAATTTTGATATGTTTTTAGCGGATGTTTTAATGTATATGTTTTTCTTTGCTGGTTATGTATTGTATGTAATGCATGGCATCGAATTGTGCCTCTATGTGCACCGCTCCGAGTCCCCTTCAGGGTTGAGAAGGGTGGGATATAAATATGGCAAATAATAAATAATAATAAATGTGTACATTCCTAGCTGCTGTTATGCCTGCTTTGTGGTAGCTTCTGCATAGAGTGCATCTACACTGTAAACTTAACACAGTTTGGCCATGGCTCAATACTATGGACTCACAAGAAATGCAGTTTTACAAGGCTTTGGCTTTCTCTGCCAAAGAGACCTGGAGTCTCACCAAAGTGCAACCTCCAGGATTCCATAGCAAAGACCATTATCAGTTAAAGTGACATCAAACTGCATCAATTCTACAGTGTAGATGCACCTTTAGAGGAATAAAAGTGAGTTGGAGAAGTTGGTTGTGTAGAAAATGTAATTTCCACAGGTGTGGCTTCCCTTCCAACCAGGTGAGAAGCAACATGTGCTGGAATACTTTTATAAACTACTACAAGTGTGAGGAGCTGAACTCTGATCTTCTTAATCTTAGGGGCCAAAGTGCCAAAGTGGGTTGAGAAATATACCTCTGGAGACCAGGGTCATAAATCATTAAACCCACTGGCTGACCATGGGCTAGTCATACTCTCTCATTCTCAGAAGCACCATAGAAAATGATCTGAAGGCACTCAATGACAATATCTTAAGAGATTATCAGACTGAAAGGGTCTTTGAGTGAAATTTGCAAATGCTAAGCAAGGGGCTTTGAATGAAATTAACAGCAAAAGAGAAATATACCCTTTCTCTGTAGAAAAGGAGCAACACGGAAGAAAATGTTTTTAAGAAACAAGATGTGACATGTAGAGGTCATACAAAGTTCAAACTCACATAGGAAGCTGTGTTGTGGTTAAGCCAAAGGTTGTGGTTAAGTGCAGAGTCTGCAAGTACAAGAAGGTACTTTCCATCAAAAGGTCAAGGGAAGGGGGCTGGAAAGAGGGTACTTTCCATGACCTATTACTTGAGCATAAAAGTCAGCAGAAACAGAGGAGGGGGCGGCAGTCACTTGAAGGGTAGCATCTGCGTATGCTGCCAGGCTGTCCATCTTCTTCATGAAGAAACTAAAATAAACCCTGTTTTTTTAATGTTTTTTTGGGGGGACTGTCTCCTTCCTTACGTGCTCCCGTGATGTGGACTTAAAAAGACCCAATTTAGGGTCTCTAACAAAACTATACTACTAGAGTGCTACTTCCCCACTTTGAATCCTATGATTGCCTCCTGTGGAACTTTGGGATTTGCAGCATAGGGAGGGGCACACTAAACTTCAAACTCCAGAATTTCACAGAATGCAGCCATAGGATTTCATAGAATCCTAGAATCCTAGTGGTGGAAGGGCCCCTCCTCTAATAATAGCTATTACATATTTTTAGAGATTGGCTGGATTTCCAGTCCCAGCCTGGCCCCAAACATTCATGGGAGGATTAATCTAATCATTTGCCAAACCTAAGAGACAAACTGAAAAACTGGTTTGGCAGGAAAATCCCTTCAGGTCAGACAGAGCAAACAGAAAAAAAAGATCTTTCCTTAAAATGCAATTAAGAATTAGACCCTGCTGTATTCTAAAAACCCATAACTGTATGGGTTTTTTAGAATACAGTTCTGGAGAGCTTTTTCTCTGAGGAGGCCTATGCTCAATGGCTCTGCTCTGAGGAGCAGGTTGGAGAGAAGCCGTTATGTTCCTCTAAAGGAGGCAATGGTGGAATAGCTGTTTGCTCAAGGTTTAAGTTTTGCTTTCTCATTTGACTTAAGATGAAGATGCCTCATTTTGTGTTACTTACAAAGACTATGTAAGTTTCTTGCACTGTTTGTTTTTTGTATGCAACATTGCAAGTTTGTATTTCATCTTTGCTATTAAGAGTCAAGATTTTTCTGTTCATTTCTACTCCGTTGAGGCTCAGCCTGTGTGTGAACCTGAGCCTGAATCTCTTATTGTATTGTCTAATGCTGATGCTAATGTTGATGTTAATGTTGTTGGGCCAAGTTTGGATAGTGAGGCTGAAGTGAACAATGAGGATGAGGCTCAAGATGGAGACACTTTGGGCAGTAAAAATCCTACAGGCTTTGATTTAGAGGCTTCAAGGGAAAAGCCAAGTTCTCATGAGAAAGTTTCTGTCAGACTGAGAGAAGAAAATTCACCCCCTTTTCCTCCTGGCCCGAGTTTGCAAGATAACGTGACATCTGGTTGGATCAATAATAACAGCCTCAGTTTGGAGATAAGCCAGAACCACAGGGAGGCTCAATGTTTAGTAGGTCTGAGATAATCCGACAACTGAAGCCTAAGATTAGAGTTAGCCGGAATCAGTTTTTGGGATTTAAGAGTGGCCGTGAGGGGGATTTCCTCAGACCAAGCATCGTTTAGTATCAAGTACACACCTCCCGGGTTTTCCAGTTTCCAGTGGTCTGGTCTCTAAGGGAATTTCTGTATTCAAGTGAGATTAACAAGGGGCTAATCTGTTCATGGATTTCTATTGAAAGTTTTCTGGACATTACTGCTTTGGATTTTCTGCAAGCTTTCTGGGCATTGCTGTTTGCTGTTTCATTTTGGATTTTTTACCTTTGGACTTACCTACAAGAAGCACTGCCTGAACATCAAGCAAAAAGTGGGCGCTAGAAACAATATCATACGAAAGCTGATTGGCACAACCTGGGGATCACAACCAGACACAGTGAAGACATCTGCCCTTGCGCTATGCTACTCTGCTGCTGAGTACGCATGCCCAGTGTGGAACACATCTCACCACGCTAAAACAGTGGATGTGGCTCTTAATGAGACATGCCCCATTATCACGGGGTGTCTGCGGCCTACACCACTGGAGAAATTACACTGTTTAGCCCGTATTGCACCACCTGACATCCGCCAGGAAGTAGCAGCCAATAGTGAAAGGACCAAGGCAGAGACCTCTCCAGCTCATCCCTTGTTTGGGTATCAGCCAGCACGTCAACGACTTAAATCTAGAAATAGTTTTCTTAGATCTACAGAGACACTCGCTGGAACACCTCAGCAAGCGAGAGTCCAAAAGTGGCAGGCTCAAACCCAGAACCTCAACCAATGGCTGATACCAAATGAGAGACTCCCCCCTGGGCACACAGAGGACTGGGCGACTTGGAAGGTGCTGAACAGACTGTGCTCGGGCACCACAAGATGCAGAGCCAACCTTCAGAAATGGGGCCACAAAGTGGAATCCACGACATGCGAGTGTGGAGAAGAGCAAACCACTGACCACCTGCTGCAATGCACCCTGAGCCCTGCCACATGATGCACAATGGAGGACCTTCTTGCGGCAACACCAGAGGCACTCCAAGGGGCCAGAGACTGGTCAAAGGACATCTAATCAACTACCAAGCTTGCAAACTTTGTGTTTTGTCTGTTTAAAATTTGTTTAAAATGTAATACAATTATCTGGTTGTTACTGACACAATAAATAAACCTTTAGACTTCTATCTATTTTATATTCATCATTCAATAAAAAGAATGGCATTTTTCCTAAACCAAGGTGTGGTGTATTAATGACAAGGGGGCCCTGTTTCCTGCTCCGGAGTGCAACATACTCTTGTCTGTGTGTCTTGTGCATGGGACGTGGCTAAGATCCGCTTGCTGCGCAACATATTCCACAAGAGTTGGGAGGGACCCCAAAGTCCATTTGGTCGAAATCCATTTGGCCATAGAGGAAGACACAATCCAATCCCTCCTGAAGGAATCAGCCTCTGCCTAAAAACCTCAAGTTAGGAAGGATGCTCCACCAGAGTCTTAGGGTCGCCCTAAGTCTGAAACAACTTGAAAGCATTAGGTTCTTGTGGGTTTGTGTTCTCAAAATGCTGGACCACTCTCACAACCACCATGTCAGACTACACAGAGAAGCCATTGAAATACACAAATATGTGGACAATGTCAACAGAAAGGAGGAAACCATGAAAATGAACAAGATCTGGCTACCAGTATTAAAAAATTCTAAAATTGCAACAGCAAAACAACAGAGAGGAAACAGGCAGGGACATCTAATCACCTTTCAAGAAGAGTTTGCTCCAGGCTCAGTCAGGCCATTGTATGCTAATGAAGGTGGTCAGTTGAAAGATTCACACCTAGCCCAACTGACAAAAGTCCTTTGTCTCACCCTGGTCATTCCACAGATATATAAACCCATTGTCCTAATTCCAACAGACCTCACTACCTCTGAGGATGCTTGCCATAGATGCAGGCGAAACGTCAGGAGAGAATGCCTCTAGAACATGGCCATATAGGCCGAAAAAACCCACAAGAACCTAGTGATTCCAGCCATGAAAGCCTTCGACAATACAAAGCCTCAATTAAAGAGAAACCAATTTCTGACCACTAGTGACCTAGCTAACGAGGGGAGAAAAGTCTCAAGTTTGGGATGTGTAGTCAGATGAAGCATCGTTTAGAATCACGCCAAGTTCTCATCCTTGTTTTCATGGAAGCCTTGCTTTGAAGATTCAAGCTAAGAAAGCACTCAACAACAACACTCATTAACTTGACTCTCTCATCAATCCAAAGCAGGCCCACACTTCCCAATGAAATACTGGTAAGTTGGTTAAAATTGTCCTTCATTTTGTTCTTCCGTTTTTTTTGCATTGCAAATAAGATGTGTGTAGTGTGCATGGGAATTCATTTGTGTGTGTGTGTGTTTTCAGATGATAGTCCAGCCCCCCGAAAGTCTGAGGGACCACAAACCAGCCCTCAGATTAAAGACTTTGAGGACCCCTGTGTTAGGATTTAACTGGATTACCAGTGCTTTAACAGTGTGGTGTGAACATCTCCTTAATCCTGCCCTCAAACCACTAATCCACACCGCCCCTCCTTAAAATCTGCCCCTTACAAGCTGAGCCTGTGGCTGTGGAAGGGAAATGTCAGGTTGACCCCTGTGTTCCCCAACATCTGAGACCCCCCCCCCCAAAAAAATACATGAGGGGTGTGGGGAGAGGAGTGTGGGCGCGAGGGCCCTCCGAACCTTACAATCTTCTCAACTAGCTGGCTGATCTGCCTCTCGTTGGTGGGGGCTCCGTCCACGTAGTAGTCCATGCCGCGCAAGCAGTAGTGGCGCCCGGTGCAGGGGCTGTAGTAGCCTTGGTAGGGCATCCGTCCTGGGATGGTGTAGTGGTGCTGCAGGGACGGGAGCTGCTTCCGGGACAGGCTGTTCAGCATGTTCACCACCACTTCCCGCTCTGGAGGCAACGGGGGGGAGGAGGAGGGCAGCGTGAGGTGGAGGGCGTGAAGTGAAAGAGGGGGGAGCTGGTGCCCCGGGGAGCTGGAGAGGGAGGGGAGAGCGGGTTACAACTCTGGGAGGAGGAGGAGGAAGAGGGTCAACTGCAGAAGGACCACCCAAGGAATCAGGTCCATTCAAGTCAATGGGGCTAGAAGTCAGGGTCACTGGAAGGGGTCATGTCAACCAGGGAAGGGCCACCTCAAGGAATCAGGTCCATTCAAGTCAATGGGACTAGAAGTCAGGGTCACTGGAAAGGGTTATGTCAACCGGGGAAGGGTCACTCCAAGGATTCGGGTCCATTCAAGTCAATGGGACTAAAAGTCAGGGTCACTGGAAGGGGTCATGTCAACCAAGGAAGGGCCACCCCAAGGTATCGTGTCCATTCAAGTCACTGGAAGGGGTCATGTCAACCAGGGAAGGGCCACCCCAAGGAATCGGGTCCATTCACATCAATGGGACTAAAAGTCAGGGTCACTGGAAGGGGTCATGTCAACCAGGGAAGGGCCACCCCAAGGAATCGGGTCCATTCAAGTCAATGGGACTAGAAGTCAGGGTCACTGGAAAGGGTCATGTCAACCAGGGAAGGGCCACCCCAAGGAATTAGGTCCATTCGAGTCAATGGGACTAGAAATCAGGGTCATTGGAAAGGGTTATGTCAACCAGGGAAGGGCCACCTCAAGGAATCAGGTCCATTCAAGTCAATGGAAATAAACATCAGGGTCACTGGAAGGGGTCATGTCAACCAGGGAAGGGTCACCCCAAGGAATCAGGTCCATTCAAGTGAATGGACTAAAAGTCAGGGTCACTGGAAGGGGTTATGTCAACCAGGGAAGGGCCACCCAAGGTATCGGGTCCATTCAAGTCAATGGGGCTAAAAGTCAGGGTCACAGGAAGGGGTCATGTCAACCAGGAAAGGGCCACCCAAGGAATCAGGTCCATTCAAGTCAATGGGACTAGAAGTCAGGGTCACTGGAAAGAGTCATGTCAACCAGGAAAGGGCCACCCCAAGGAATCTGGTCCATTCAAGTCAATGGGGCTAGAAGTCAGGGTCACTGGAAGGGGTCATGTCAACCATGAAATGGCCACCCCAAGGAATCGGGTCCATTCAAGTCAATGGGACTAAAAGTCAGGGTCACTGGAAGGGGTCATGTCAACCATGAAATGGCCACCCCAAGGAATCAGGTCCATTCAAGTCAATGGGACTAAAAGTCAGGGTCACAGGAAGGGGTCATGTCAACCAGGGAAGGGCCACCCCAAGGAATCAGGTCCATTACAGCCAATGGGACTAAAAGCCAGGGTCACTGGAAAGGGTTATGTCAACCGGGGAAGGGCCACCCCAAGGAATCGGGTCCATTCAAGTCAATGGGATTAAAAGTCAGGGTTACTGGAAGGGGTCATGTCAACCAGGGAAGAGCCACCTCAAGAAATTGGGTCCATCGGACACAGGTCTGCCCAAGTCAGTCATGGGTGTGGGACACAGAGACACTTAAAGAGTTCTAGCTCCATTGTCTTGACACTTTAAGTCAAGGCAATGGAGCTAGAGGTCAGGGTCACTGGAAGGTTCAAGTCAACTGGAGAAGGATCACCTCAAGGAATCAGGTCCATGGGACTCAGGCTTCCCAAGCCAGTCATGGGTGAGTCATACATCTAAAGAGGTCTAGGGACCTAGGGATAACCAATTCAAGTCAGTAGGGCTAAAAGTCAGGGTGACTGGAAGGGGTCAAGTCAACCAGGGAGGGGCCAACCCAGGGAGACTAAGGGCCATGGAATGCAGGTCTTCCAAGTCAGTCATGGGAGTGAGCCCAGAGTGTCCTAAAGACGTTTAGGGACCTAAAGGCAGCCAAGTCAATTCAACAGAGCTAAAGCTCAAGGTCAATGGAGATGGTCAAGCCCAATGGAGAAGATCCACCCCAAGGAGTAAGGTTCATGAGATGCAGGCTTTCCAACTAGTCAACTAATCATGGGAGTGGGACCCAGGGTCACCTAAGGAAGTCTACAAACCTAGGGACAATGAGATATAGCCAATGGGGATAGGGTCATTGGAAGGGGCCAAGTCAGAGAAGGTCCTAGCATGAGGAATCAGGTCCATGGGATGCAGTCATAGGAATGGGACCCAGGGAAACCTAGATAGGTCTTGGGACTTAAAGACCACCAAGTCAAGTCAACTGGGATAGAGGTCAGGGTTAACAGAGGAGGTCAAGTCAACTGATGAAGAGCCCATCCAAAGGAGTCAAGCCAATGGAAACCTAAATAGAACTTGGAACTTAGGGACAACCAAGTGAAGTCAATGGGGTTAGAACTCAAGAAGGGGTCAGGTCAAGCAGAAGAGGGTCAGGTCTATGGGATGCAGGTCTGCCCAAGTAAATCATGGTAATGGGATCTAGAGTCACCTAGATAGGTCTATGAAAGACCACCAAGTCAAGTCAATGAGTCTACAGGTCAGGGTTAACAGAGGAGGTCAGGAGGTCAAGTCAACAGGACACAGAGCCACCCAGGGGAGTTCTCTCTACGGGGGGGGGGGGGGAGGAAAGGGGCATAGCAGGTCTGGCAAAAGCCTTTCCTAGATGGCTATCTTCACCCTGGAATATGGCTCCACTCCAACTCCCAGCATTCCTCACTTTTGGCTATGCTGGGAAGAGGGTGCTTTGACCGCCTTTCAGCAACATCTGGATGACTTTGTGACCTCCTCCCACCCAAATAAAGGGAGAACGGGGCTTAGTTACCATAATTGTTGAGACGCTCCGGTTTCGGAGGGTACTGCATGGGCATCCCGCGGAGTATGGACTCCATCCCAGCCTCCTGGAAGACAAGGTGGTGGTATCATCACCATCATCATCATCATCATCATCATCATCATCATCACCATCATCATTGTAATTATTTTCCACTTCTCTCTTAAGAGACTCAAAGCAGCTAACAAAAGCTAAACACAACATAATACACAATTTAGATTTTACAACCTATAATTGCTAAAATAGAATTGAACACGGAGCTATTTAAAAACAGGTTGGCACACATTAATTGCTTCATACTTGAAGCAGGAGTGGGCACATTTGGCCCTCGATATGTAGGTTGTGTAGCGGGTGGGTATTAAGAGCTCAGAGGAAGTAGACTTAGGCCAAATCCACACTACACAATCATAATACGCCTATGTCTCCATCCTAGTGGACCCTGGGATTTGTAGTTCTGTAAAGGGTGGTCACAATATTCTTTTAGAAAACTCACATGCTTCAGAGGAAGGTACCTCTAAGAAACTGCACATCCCAGGATCCCGCTAAACACAGTCACAGCAGTTGTAACTGGTGTCGGATTGCATTAATTCTACAGTGTAGACACACTCCTCCTCTGTTAGGCTCTATGGTGCGCATCTACACTTTAGAATTAACACAGCTTGACACCACTTTAATTGCATGCATGCCATGGCAATTCAGTCTGGGATTCCATCCTCTGCTACCAGATTGTCAGAGAATTTTGGGGGTGTATGCACAGCGGAAGAGGTTGCTAGATCAAGAGACACAGGACTCCAAAAATCAGGACTCTGCAGTCTTACAGTTGCAAAAATAACACAAAGTTTACTAAGCACATCTACACACGTCCATTCTTAGTGGGCTATAATCAGGAACTACAAAGCACAGCGTAAACAGTTTCAGAACATCTGCTTATCAGACCTCTGGCTGCAACCGGATCCTCCTTCTACTCCCCACAGCCAGAGAACATGTTATCTCATTTCTGTCAAGGTTACATTTTCTCTGCTTTTCACAGTATTTCTTATACACAATTGAACAATATAAAATCCATCTTGAAACACATCTTAATCCATCTTGAATTACATAGAAACATGTTGAAAAACACACATGCATACCTCAATGATCCTGACAATATTAAGGTCCTCCTGTCAGCAACATTTGGAGAGGGGAAACTGAATGCTTCTCTCTCCTCTGAAGATCTCCTTTTCCAAAACTGTTACCGTATATACTCACATATAAGTTTAGAAACTAACCCGGGTTGGCTTATCCATAGGTCAGTGTGGGCAGTGTACCTTAACTCTTATCCAAAAAGGAACCTTCCCCTTCTTTGAGTGGATTGGCAAAAGGTGGGAGCTCAGCCCATCCCCGGAAAACCGAAAAGAAGCTTGATCAGCATTGGGTAGCCATGAAGCTACAAAGTCAGATATATACACTACATTTGCCTCACTTCCAACAGACCTCTGAGTGTGCCATGGGTCACAGATGCAGGGGAAGGGTCAGGAGAGAATGCTGCTGGAACATGGCCATACAGCTTGAAAAACTCACAGCAGCACAATAATTATAATAATGCTCTCAGAGTAAGCGCCTCGTGGCTAGGACCCCAAGGACCAGGCTGAGCTGACACCCTGACTGTCACAGGGAACTAGCTAGTGAGCCACCACTAATCTGAATCCCGATCCCTTTGCCGGGAACTGTTTTCTGCAGAACCGGATTGGCAAGAGAAGCTGACCATAAAGGTGCAAAAGAAAAAAAAAGGATAATGAGCTTTGCCTGCAAAGAATGCTGACTTTGGGAGGAAAGGCAGAAGTGATGCTGCCATTATTATAATAAGTAGTACCATCTGGAATGGACGGTGATTGGAACGTAAACAAAGCATTTCCTTACCCACTAATTTTTGGAATTTCAGATCCCAACAACTGTGTATTGGAAATATATGCTAGAAAAAAATCCAGGTTTACCTTGGGGATCCGCGGAAGGTACGTGGTGTATCGGTTCCAGGCTGCGCTGTTGTACGGCCCGGTTCGCCACGTTGCGTACCTGTCGTCTCCAACGAAGACTGGGTTGAACTTCTCTGCAAATTCAAACAAAGGGAGAAGGAGTTTTAGTGCCTAGCGAAGGCACAAAGAGAGCGAGAGCCAAGAGGAATGAATGGGCAACTAGCCAAATGGGCAACTAGTCAAAGCCTGAGAGGCAGGGACCAATAATAATAATAATAATAATAATAATAATAATAATAATAATAATAATCTTTATTTATACCCCGCCACCATCTCCCCGATGGGGACTCGGAGCGGCTTACATGGGGCCAAGCCCGGAAAACATATTATAGTAATAAAATCAAAATATAAACAACAAACGACAACAACATCATCAAAGTACATTAATACTACTACTAATAAAAAAACAGTCTTAAAATAACATTCTAAATAAACACAATCACGATAACGATAACAGTGGACGGGCCACATGTACAGGATAAAACAATTAAAAAAACTGTGATGAGATAAAATAGGAGCAAGACATTTACGGGGATTTATGAGGTTGAATTTCCCATTTGTGGGGCGCGAACTCCAGTAACAGAAAAGCGTTGAGGGGTGCAAAATGTCATGGTGTGCACCTACTCACCAAAGACGCAGCGGAAGATCCAGGTTTTAAGGTTCTTTTTAAATGTTTCTAGTGAAGGGGCTTTCCTGATCTCTCCAGGTAAAGAGTTCCAAAGTCGGGGAGCGATCTAGGGTGCTTCTGCATTGCAGAATGAATGCAACTTGACTCCATCTTCACTGCCATGGCTCAATGCTATGGGATCCTAGGAGTTGTAGTTCTACAAGGCCTTTAGCCTTCTCTGCAAAAGAGTGCTGTTGTCTCTCTACAACTCTAAGGCTTCCATCACCATAGCACTTCAAGAGGGGTTAAACTGCATTAATCTTGCAGTGTGGCTACACCTGAGTTATAGCAATCATACCTGGGAAGGGGCTAAAGCAGTGTTTCTCAACCTGGGGTCGGGACCCTTGGAGGGGCCACGAGGGGGTTTCAGAGGGGTCACCACAGACCATCAGAAAAAACTGGGCTGTTGTGAGTTTTCCAGAGTGTCTGGCCATGTTCCAGAAAGCATTCTCTCCTGACGTTTCGCCTGCATCTATGGCAGGCATCCTCAGAGGTTGCGAGGTCTGTTGGAAACTGGGAATACATGGGGTTTGTATATCTAGAATGTCCAGGGTGGGAGAAAGAACTCTTGTCTGTTGGAGGCAGGTGGGAATGTTGCAATTGGCAATCTTGATGAGCATGGAATGGCCTTGCAGCTTCAAAGCCTGGCTGCTTCCTGCCTGAGGAAATTATTTATTTATTGATTGATTTCAGACATTTATATCCCGTCCTATCTTGACCTCCGCAGAGGGAATCCTTTGTTGGGAGGTGATTAGCTGGCCCTGACAGTTTCTTGTCTGGAATTCCTCACTTTTTCAGTGTTGTTCTTTATTTACTGTTATCTATCTATCTATCTATCTATCTATCTATCTATCTATCTATCTATCTATTTGCAGTATTTATATTCCACCCTTCTCACCCCACAAGGGACTCAGGGCGGATTACAATGTACATATACATAGCAAACATTTAATGCCATAGATACACAACATATATAGTGTGGGCCAAAGGTGGAAAGCAAAAGGACGTGTCCAGCGCAGGTGCTGAAGGAAGGAACACTGACCACTGGATTAATTACCTTCTTCCCGGGTGACCCAATACTTGTACGGCCGGTAAGCCGAGGCCTCTGTCGAGTTCTTGTAGGCGTATTCCTGGACCGCCCTCTTGACCATCTTATCCAGGTGGTTTTGGTCAATCGGATGGTCCACTCTGGGCACGGTCAAGCCCTGCAAGGGAGGAAGGCAGGTCAGGCAGCGCAAAGTGTGTACATACATGCAAGCGCACCCATAAGCCCATAATCCTAGAGTTGGAAGAGTCCCCAAGGAATATCCAGGCAGGAAAACACAATCAGAGCCCTCCCGACAGATGGCCATCCAGTCTCTGCTTAAGAACCTCCAGAGAAGGAGACTTTGCTGCACTCCCAGGCAATGTGTTCCACTACCAAACAGCTCTAACCATCAGGATATTCTTCCTAATGTTGAGGGAGGAAGGCAGGTCAGGGAGCACAAAGTGTATACATGCACGCAAGCGCACCCATACACCCAGAATCCTAGAGTTGGAAGAGTCCCCAAGGAATATCCAGGCAGGAAAACACAATCAAAGCCCTCCCGACAGATGGCCATCCAGAGGAGAAGACTTTGCCGCACTCCCAGGCAATGTGTTCCACTACCAAACAGCTCTAACCATCAGGATATTCTTCCTAATGTTGAGGTGGAATCTCTTTTCCTGCGGTTTGAATCCTTGGCTCTGTTGTGCCCTGGTCTCCAAAGCAACAGGAAACAAGCTGCCTCTCTCCTCAATGTGACCTCCTTTCAGGTATTTAAATATGTCTCTCTTCACGTCTATTTCTTTTGACCTTCTCTTCTCCAAGCTAAGCATCCCCAGCACGCTCTGTAGTTTCCAGACCTTCTCTGGACGCTCTTGTGCCCATCTCCTTCTTGAATTGCTTTGCCCAGAACTGGACACGAGAGTATTATTCCAAGTGAAGGGATCTGACCAAAGCAGAAGGTAAGGGGACGAGGGCTTCCATTCACCTAGTCACTACACAACTATAGGTACAGCCTAGAATTGCACTGGATCTTTTAGCCACCAGATCAGTGCGTTGCTATGAGTTTTTCGGGATGTATGGCCATGTTCCAGCAGCATTCTCTCCTGACATTACGCCTGCATCTGTGGCTAATGGTATCTACAGAGGTTCTGTTGGCAGTGATAAGCGGAGTGTATATATACCCATGATGACATGATGGCAACAGTCTTGGACAGCAATGGCTTCCAAAGTGACCCATTTAAGGTGAAATCAGGTGCCAAACAGGGATGATGTGTTATTGCCCCAACATTATTCGCCATCTTCATCGTTGGATACTTCACCTTGTTGATGGGAAGCTTCCCACCAAAGTGGGAATCATCTATCAGACAGAAGGCAAGCTATTTAACCTCAGCCGACTGAAAGCCAAAACCAAGGTTACAACAACATCTGTTATAGAACTCCAGTATGCTGATGACAACGTCGTATGTGCACATTCAGAAGAAGACCTGCAAGCCACTCTAAACACCTTTACAGGAGCATACGAGAAGCTCGGCCTGTTATTAAACATCGAGAAAACCAAAGTGCTGTTCCAGCAGTCACCAGCCAATCCGTCTCCAATGCCAGAGATACAGATTAATAGTGTAACATTAGAAAATATTGGCCATTTCTAGAGGCATTCTCTCCTGACGTTTCACCTGCATCTATGGCAAACATTTCAGAGGTAGTGAGGATGCTTGCCATAGATGCAGGCGAAACGTCAGGAGAGAATGCCTCTAGAACATGGCCATATAGCGCGAAAAAACCTACAACGACCCAGTGATTCCGGCCATGAAAGCCTTCGACAATACACACTACACACTGCACACTACACTTGCCTCATTTCCAGCAGACTTCTAAAGACGCCATTAGCCACAGATGCAGGTGAAAAATCAGGAGAGAATGCTACTGGAACATAGCCAGACAGCCCAAAAGACTCACAGCAACCCAGTGATTCCAGCCATGAAAGCCTTTGACAACCCTTTCAGTGTTGGCTCACGTTCATACCATTCCCACGGACAGTTTTCAAGCCCATTTACCTTGGATATGAACTTATTTGGTTCGAATGCCTCATAAGAAGGCTCGTGGTAGTCGTCCTTGGTGGACCGTGGTGGCCTGTAGGAATCCGTGTAAGTGCTGATGGGAGTCTCGGTTTTGTGCGAAAAGATGAACATCTCTCCAAACGGCTGGTTTCCCGCCTCAGACCACCGCAACTGGGTTTCCTAATCTTGGCTAGGCTTCTTTGTACAAAGGGGAATGAGCTCAGCTCGAGAACCCGCGGGCTAGAACGCTCTGAGCAATACGAAAATAAAAAATGTGCTCTATTCTCTAGTATCAAACTACAAATGGGCTTCAAAAGTCCCAGCCTCTGGACACCAGCCCTGACTGCATCAGCCGCATCAGCCACGATGTCACAGTCAGGGAGGGCAGACACCAGACACAAGGCAAAGGGGCCAAAAAGGGAGCCCGGCTTGGTTCTAGACCTTGGCTCTAGCACAAAGGAGCTCTTTCCCTTGGCTTCCAAAGACTTCCAAAGATCTCAGAAGCTGAAGCCCAAGAGAATTGACTACTTCTCTGTTTGTTTGTGAGGCACAGTGAGAGGACCCGATCCTCAGGCCCTGCCATGTGATTTTTCTATGACTTCACTGTGTCTGGACCTACAAGAAGCACTGCTTGAACATCAAGCAAAAAGGGGGTGCTAGAAACAATATCACACGAAAGTTGACTGGCACAACCTGGGGATCACAACCAGACACAGTGAAGACATCTGCCCTTGTGCTGTGCTACTCTGCTGCTGAGTACGCATGCCCAGTGTGGAACACATCTCACCACACTAAAACAGTGGATGTGGCTCTTAATGAGACATGCCGCATTATCATGGGGTGTCTGCGCCCTACACCACTGGAGAAACTACACTGTCTAGCCGGTATCGCACCACCTGACATCCACCAGGAAGTAGCAGCCAATAGAGAAAGGACCAAGGCAGAGACATCTCCAGCTCATCCCCTGTTTGGGTATCAGCCAGCACGTCAACGACTTAAATCAAGAAATAGTTTTCTAAGATCTAGAGACACTCGCTGGAACACCTCAGCAAGTGAGAGTCCAAAAGTGGCAGGCTCAAACCCAGAACCTCAACCAATGGCTGATACCAAATGAGAGGCTCCCCCCTGGGCACAGAGAAGGCTGGGCGACTTGGAAGGCGCTGAACAGACTGAGCTCTGGCACCACGAGATGCAGAGCCAACCCCAAGAAATGGGGCTACACGACATGCGAATCCACGACATGCGAGTGCGGAGAAGAGCAAACCACTGACCACCTGCTGCAATGCAACCTGAGCCCTGCCACATGCACAACGGAGGACCCTCTTGCGGCAACACCAGAGGCACTCCAAGGGGCCAGATACTGCTCAAAGGACATTTAATCAACTACCAAGCTGCAAACTGTGATTTTTAAAAATATCTGTTTGTTTGTTTTGTTCTGTTAGAAATGTAATACAGTGCCCCTGACACGATAAATAAAAACTGTGTCTGGTTTAGGGAACCCACCCAAATTCAAAGAGGATCTTGAAAAACGCTGCAAGATGTCCAGAGAAGGGCAACCAAAACGACCAGAGGTTTGGAAGCCAAGCGCTACAAGGAATGGGGAACCTGGAGATGTTTGCTTGCTTTCTTCCAGGTGTTTTGAAGGCCAAGCTTGCTATTCTGACTCTTAGAGAAGAGGCACCTGGGAGGGCCCTGTTTACATTGATTTATTTGAAAGGGTGTCCCATTGATGAAGGAGACAGGCTTCCTTTCTGCTGCTCCAGAGAATGGGACTCAATGCAGCAACGCATCCAAACTATAGGAAAAAGAGATTCCACTGAAACTTTAGGAAGAACTCGTAGACAACAAGTTAAACATGAGCCAACAATGTGATGCAGCAGCTAAAAAATCCAATGGGATTTTGGCCTGCATCAATAGGAGCCCAGTGTCTAGATCCAGGGAAGTCCTGCTCCCCTTCTATTCTATTCTGGAAACTGGTGCTGCAAAAGAGTTGTTGGGAATTTCTAAATTTGTAGGAATATGGAAACCCGCTCTTGTATTGCAACCTACAATTTCAAAGAGCTTCTCAAGGCTTACATAGCACCTTGGAGAGCTCCTTGAGAAGTTCAAAGTGGACCACTCGGTGAGTTCCTCCCCAGTTTTCTTCCTTCCTTCCTTCCTTCCTTCCTTCCTTCCTTCCTTCCTTCCTTCCCCCTCCCCTCCCTCCCTCCCTCCCTTCCTTCCTTCCTTCCTTCCTTCCTTCCTTCCTTCTCCTTCCTTCCTCTTCTTCCTCCCTTCCTTCCTTCCTTCCTCTCTTCCTTCCTCCTTCCCTTCCCTTCCCTCCTCTTCCTTCCTTCCTTCCTTCCTTCCCTTTCCTTCCTTCCTTCTTCCTTCTTCCCTTTCTTCCTTCCCTTCCCCTTCCCTCCCTTCCTTCCCTTCCCTTTTCGTCCTTCCCCTTCCTTCCTTCCTTCCTTCCTTCCTTCCTTCCTTCCTTCCTTCCTTCCTTCCTTCCCTTCCCTTCCTTCCTTCCTTCCTTCCTTTCCTTAATTCCTTCCCTTCCTTCTTTCTTTCCTTCCTTCCCTTCCCTTCCCTTCCCTTCTCCCTTTCCTTCCCCCTTCCCTTTTCCCCTTCCCCTTCCTTCCTTCCTTCCTGCCTTCCTTCCTTCCTTCCTTCCTTCCTTCCTTCCTTCCTTCCTTCCTTCCTTCCTTCCTTCCTTCCTTCCTTCCTTCCTTCCCTTCCCTTTCTCTTCCCTTCCCCTTCCCCTTCCCCTTCCCCTTCCCCTTTCTCCCTTCCTTTTCTTTCTTTCCTCCCCTTCCCCTTCCCCTTCCCCTTCCCCTTCCCCTTCCCCTTCCCCTTCCCCTTCCCCTTCCTTCCTTCCTTCCTTCCTTCCTTCCTTCCTTCCTTCCTTCCTTCCTTCCTTCCTTCCTTCCTTCCTTCCTCTCCTCTTTGAGCCTTCCTCCGACACCAGGAGAGCCAGGCAATGCGTTACCTGTGTGATGAACTTGTTCTCGCTCCATAGGGCCAGCGGTGGGTCCTCAAAGGTCTTCTTCAAGGTGTTGGGGGGCCGGTAGGAGTCGGTGTAGGTGCTGATGGGCGTCCTGGTTTTGCGCGCAAAGAGGAACATCTCGGATCGGAGCCGGGGAGGGTCCCTGCGGTCTCGGGTTCAGCGGCGTTGGTCACGGAGACAACGGGCGGGAGACACGTCATCGGCGAGAGTTGCTTCAGCCCCCGGCGCTTGGAGTTTGGAGATCTTTTGGCCCTCTCCTTTGGCTGCCCTGAATGAGGAGGGAAGGAGGGAGGGATGGAGGGGTGGAGAGGGGCTCCTGGTTACGGCGGGACTGAGGGGGCCACTGGCCCTCCCCTTGAGGAGCATGGCCCTCCCCAGTAGCCTGGCCCTCTTGCATCACGCTGATGTCACAGTTGGGAGAGGAAGGGGCTGCTGCTGCTGCTGCCTCTGGGGCAGGGAACAAGGGCAAAGGGCCTAATTTGCAAATGGACCCACATTTGGGTGGCTTAGGAACAGTCCATTTGTGAAAGGGACCTCAAGAGGACCATGACTTGCTGATTCATGGATTGGCTCTGTCTGGTGTACGAGGTTTAGCCCTGAAATGGTTCAATGCGTTCCTCCAGGACCGGAGACAGAGGGTGGAGTGGTGAGGCCAAAGCTCAGAGAGCTCCTGCCTTTGCTGTGGACAGAGTTCCCCAGGGTGCCATCCTCTCGCCCATGTTATTTCACATCTACGTCCGGCCACTTGCTGGACTGGTGCGGAGCTTTGGCCTAGAGTGCTACCAGTATGCAGATAGAATCATAGAATCAAAGAGTTGGAAGAGACCTCCTGGGCCATCCAGTCCAACCCCATTCTGCCAAGAAGCAGGAATATTGCATTCAAATCACCCCTGACAGATGGCCATCCAGCCTCTGCTTAAAAGCTTCCAAAGAAGGAGCCTCCACCACACTCCGGGGCAGAGAGTTCCACTGCTGAACGGCTCTCACAGTCAGGAAGTTCTTCCTCGTGTTCAGATGGAATCTCCTCTCTTGTAGTTTGAAGCCATGGCTCCATTGCATCCTAGTCTCCAGGGAAGCAGAAAACAAGCTTGCTCCCTCCTCCTCCCTGTGGCTTCCTCTCACATATTTATACATGCTATCATATCTCCTCTCAGCCTTCTCTTCTTCAGGCTAAACATGCCCAGCTCCTTAAGCCGCTCCTCATAGGGCTTGTTCTCCAGACCCTTGATCATTTTAGTCGCCCTCCTCTGGACACATTCCAGCTTGTCAATATCTCTCTTGAATTGATACCCAGCTACTCTTGCATCTCGAACCTGGGACAACACCGATTCCTGAGAACTTTAAGCTGTGTTTGGAAGCAGTGAGGAGTTGGCTACGAGCGAGCAGACTCAAAGTGAATCCTGCAAAAATGGAGATCCTCTGTCCCGGCCAGCTGCCCAGTCTCTGCCTGATTTCGATGGGGAAGCTCTGGTTCCGTCAGCCACTGTTCAAAGCCTTGGGGTTGTGTTGGACTCATCGCTGACGATGGAGGCCCAGATCACCTTTTTTCATCTTTGCCAGGCAAGGAAATTGGCATCCGACCTTTCGGTAGAAGCATTGGCAACGGTAATCCACACAACAGTCACCACGAGGTTGGACTATCGCAACGCCTTATATGCCGGCCTTCTGAAGTCAACAACTCAGAAGATTCGGATGGTCCAAAATGCAGCGGCCAGGCTGCTAGCGGGATCATCTATAAGATCCCATGTTACACCGATTCTGCAACAACTGCATTGGCTACCAAGAGAACATCGGATCTCTTGCAAGATCCTGATCCTGACATTGAGAGCTCAAAATGGCCAAGGACCTTGATATCTTAGGGACCGCCTCATTCCTTTTCCCCATCAGTGGTCACCTCGATCCACCCAGGAAAATCTCCTCTACATCCTGGGCCCTAGCAAGGTACACCTGGAAGCTACAAGGCTTAGAGCTTTCTCGACCTCTGCTTCAATTCTGTGGAACTCCTTGCCTCCATACATTAGAGCAATGTCGGAGTTGCGACCTTTTGTAAAGGCACTCAAGACTTGGCTGTTTGGTTGTGCATTTAAGTCATCAGATCTAATTTGCCAAATAGTCACTGTTGAATGTTTTTACGTTGAATGTTTTTATATTGTGTAAATGCTATTTTAGATTGTAAGTCACTTGGAGCACCTTGGTGGAGAGCCACTAATTAAGACAGAAAGTGAAGTGAAGAAGAGTCGTAGTGGACCACAAGGTAAACATGAGTCAAGAGTGAGATGCAGCAGCTAAAAAAGCCAATGTAATTCTAATTCAATGTATTGTCAAACTCTTTCATGGCTGGAACCATTGGGTTGCTGTGAGTTTTTTGCGCTGTCTGGCCATGTTCTGGCAGCATTCTCTCCTGGCATTTCTCCTGAATCTGTGGCTGGTGATATCTTCAGAGGTTCTGTTGGCAGTGAAACGAGTGGAGTGTGTGTGTGTGTATTCCACATATATGAAAGGAAGAAGTTTGTTCGAAGCAAGTGTGAATGTTGCAGTTAGCAAGCTTGAATAGCATCGAATAGTCATGGCCCAACCTGGACCCAGAATATTATTTGAGAACACAGAAATGCTGGACCACTCTGACCACCATCATGTCGGATGACACAGAGAAGACACTGAAACCCACAAGAAGCATGTGGACAATGTCAACAGAAAGGAGGAAACAATGAAAAAGAGCAAAAGCTAATTACCAATATTTACAAAACACCAGAATCAAGACAGTAAATAAAGAACACCACTTGGAAACTGGAGAACTCCAGATAAGAAGAATTCAAATGCCAATTAACACCTCCCAAACAGAGGATGCCTCCAAGCAACAGAGGCCAGGCTACATGCCAAAACACTGACTGATTGACTTTGCAGCTTCATAATAATAATAATAATGATAATAATAATAATAATAATAATAATAATAATAATAATAATCCTTTATTTGTACCCTGCTACCATCTCCCGAAGAACTCGGTGCGGCTTACAAGAGGCCGAGCCCAAATACATCAGTAAAACAACAACAACACAACAATAAATAAACTCATAAACACGCAGTAAACATCAACAATAACACCACAACGCATTAAGAACCTATGGCAGGGCCAAGTGTAATAATTAAAATTGTTTAAAAAAAATGCTGGGCATGACCAGGTGAAATAGGATAGGTATTTTGAAGATAGGTAGGGCGTGCAGACGATCCTAGATCTTTAATAAAGTCCATTTGGGACAAATTGCTTGGAGTTTCCTTATTCTGGCAAGACACACTGGAACAATCGCGTTTTCAAGCTCCTCCTAAAGACTGCCAGTGTTGGGGCATGCCTGATGTCCTTGGGGAGTGAGTTACAGAGTTGAGGGGCCACCACCGAGAAGGCCCTGTCCCTCGTCCCTACCAATCGTGCTTGCAATGCAGCTGGGATCGCGAGCAGGGCCTCTCCAGATGATCGAAGAGATCGTGTGGGTTCGTATACAGAAATGCGGTCACGCAGGTAGGTGGGTCCCAAACCGTTTAGGGTTTTGTAGGTAAGCACCTGCACCTTGAATTGGGACCGGAAAATGAACGGCAGCCAATGGAGTTCCTTAAACAGGAGGGTTGACCTCTCCCTGTAAGGAGCACCAGTTAACATTCTGGCTGCTGGCCGCTGAACCAATTGAAATTTCTAGGCCGTTTTCAAGGGCAGCCCCACATAGAGTGCATTACAGTAGTCCAATCTGGAGGTGACTAAGACATGGACCACCCTGGCCAGATCCGCCTTCACGAGGTATGGTCATGGCTGTGCAATGCTATTCAAGCTTGCTAATTGCAACACCCACACCAGTGATTCTCTACCTGTGGGTCCCCAGGTGTTTTGGCCTTCAAGTCCCAGAAATCCTAACATCTGGTAAACTGATTGCGATTTGTGGGAGTTGTAGGCCAAAACCTAAGGACTCACAGGTTGAGAATCACTGCTTCAAACAGATGAGGGTTTTTCTCCCATCCTTGACATTATTTCACTGGTAAGTGTACACTTCACTTGCTTCACTGCCAACAGAAACTCTGCAGATGCCACTAGTCACAGATGAATCCCTCTAAGACAGCGGTTCTCAACCTGGGGGTCGCGACCCCTGGAGGGGTCATTTGGCAATTCTTGAGGGGTCGCAGCATGGTCTTGTTAGGCTACGCCTCCTCCTGCAGACCCCATGCGCCTTCAACAGTGTGCCAAACAGATACCGAGGCCTTTACAGAAGCTACTGGAAGAGTGTGTGTAAGAAAGAGAGGAAGGCTAGGAAAGAGAGTAGGGAGACTGGAAGCGTGAGTGTAAGACAGAGAGGCAGGGAAGGAAAGGAAAGGCCTCTTCTCCCAAGGCCTCTCCAGGCAGCTGTAAATCCACTGTAAATTTTCTGTTGGTCATGGAAGCCCTATATGACAAGTTTGGTTCAATACTATTATTGGTGGAGCTCAGAATGCTCTTTGATGCCTGGTGAACTATAAATCCACACAGCTGTAATTCCCAAATGTCAGGGTCTATTTTCCCCAAACTCCACCAGTGTTCAAGTTTTGGGCATACTGAGTATTTCTGCCAAGTTTGGTCCAGATCTATAGTCGTTTGGGTTCACAGTGCTCTCCAAATGTAAGTGATCTACATCTCCCCTAAATTCTTCCCAACCCCCTCCAGTATTTTCTCTTTGTCATGGGAGTTCTGTGTGCCAAGTTTTGTCCAGGTCTGTAATTTGTGGGTGGGCTGTGGAAGTCAGAGCTGAATTGGTTGAAGGTACTTCAAATCCCTTCATTCATTATCCAAACTCTCCCAAACATATCATTTTTATCGTTAATCACTATGCTTTAATTATGTTCAGTTTGTAACAATGAAAATACATCCCGCATATCAGATATTTACATTACAATAACAGTATAGTTATGACGTAGCGACAAAAATATGGTTGGGGGGTCACCACAACATGAGGAACTGTATTAAGGGGTCACGGCATTAGAAAGGTTGAGAACCATTGCTCTAAGAAACAGTTTAGGGAGCTGGGGATGTTTAGCTTGGAGAAGAGAAGGTTGAGGAAGGAGACACGAGGACCCTCTTTCAATGTTTGAAAGGACACCACTTTGAAGAGGAGGCCAGTTTGTTTCCTGCTGTTGAAGAGACTAGGACATAATGGAGCAATGCACTTCAACTTAAAGCGGATGTTTAAAATCCACGGTGCCACTCCAAACGAGCACTTTAACCTACTTTATATTCTTATAAATTGGTGAAGTGACAGCTTTTGAGAAACCCAAGACCATAAAGACTCACCAAGCAATCTTTCCG